ATTCGAAATATCTCTCACATTTCAAGGCAACGCTTGTTTATCCGTCTTTTTTTTTGTTTTTACAAAATCCCTCCAATTGGATTCGCCGGTTGGGCTATTCTTGTAAAACTCGAGACGTTTATTTTTACCGAGGCGAGCAGAACGTTTATGTGTACATACATTACGTAAGGTATTACGGCTTGCCATCGATTCGACATATGATAAATTGATTGGGATTAGTTATACAGGGTGGAACGCGAGAGGAAAATTAAATTTGATTTTGACTTCTTAATTATTCAAGTGACAGTCGAGATGGTACCGGTGGGGGGGGGGGGCTGCGGTAACGTTTCTCTTTCTAATAATTTCTAATGAGAGTGTAGTTTCTAATAGTTAATATTTCTTAATTTTTCCACGGAAAATGTGGTTTTATTTGCTTTTTAATTACAATAATAAATGTTGACGTATATGAAGATATTTGTTTATTATCATTGTAAAACTAAAGATTGCCATAATCTAAGGTCACCATACGATGATATGAATTTTTCACTAGAGATTGCATGGATAAAATTGCATAATTACGTTGATGGGAGACAGCACTGCATAATGATACTTAGAGACCTTTTTTTTTTGCGAAAACTGAAATCATTGGGTTTTGCGTAAGGTGCTTAGTTAAATGTTAAATTAAGCAAGATTTTGTTTTTTCGTATCGGCGACGTGTGCTGTAACATATTGTAATCTCGCTGATGAAATTGTAAATAGCTTCTGTGCAATTGATACCGTTTAACAAAATAACCACTCTCCTTCGAGTTCATGGATAAGTGAGCGCAAGTGGGTCAAATATACATAATCGATTAAATATTTATTAAGCCAATCAGTTTTGTATAATCTGATATTGGCATTTGCGGGAGAAAAGAGAGGGCTCGCCGTACCGGAATCCTGGAGACCGATACCAGGACCAAACACAGACAAATTTGTTCCTTAACGAGGTCAGGCGGCGCAGCTGCCCAATCCGAGCGTATGTCCCCTCCAAGAAAACGAGATTTATCAAAGGCGGTACGAAGTTCGCGGGTCTGCTAGTGGTTTCTAAAAAGAAGGCTTAGTTTCTAGGAAGGTTTTGAAAAACTTGTCGATAATAGTTTGCTTCTCAAGTTCCCTGGAGAGTTTTTGGATTTTTAAAAGGACTTCACTGGAAGTTTCTCAGTATTCTTAAAAGGTTTTTTTATACAGTATTTTTCCAGAAAGATTTTCAAAAGATTTCGGTTTTCAAGATTAGAACTTTATGACACTTCTCTACGATCTTATGGTTTTAATGCAATAAAATTGTCGGCGCGCAATGCCGATCCGTGTTGTGCAGTTATAGTGGGTGCTAAAAAAAAACCGCAAAAGAATATCTATCCGGGTGGCACAATGGGTTCGAATAAACACACAATTAATTGATTGACAGTGGCAAACATTTATTCCTCGATTCATTCCAATACACATGAAATGTAAATTAAATCAAATTTGGTGAAGTAATGAGAAGCTTACAAAGTTTGTTCGGACGAATTACCTCGCACGCAGGAGTTCGAAAATTCTTAAAATACAGTAGGCAATTACAAACAATTCTGCGATTCTGCAATTCGCCAAGACACATTTAAGCAGTCAATAGGTAAACCTACCAATTAAAATTGAAGGTCATCAAAGGAGAGGATTAAATGGTAGATCAATCGATAAGATTCGCATGCGGGGTAGTCCTTTTTCAACTGCGTCAAAATTGAGTTATTTAACGCTCGGCCCGTAAAATGCTTTCGTATAAAATAAAATGTTTAATCCCCTAAAGGTAACTTAATTAAAATGATAAACCAAACTAGTAGAGGCGTGAATGGAATTACCACAAAAATGTCATATAAATTCTTCTACCTCTGGTTCGTGTAGCAGTTTTGCATATTACATTGTACAAGCTTGTGGACGGTATTCGCCAACTTTAGGGAACAAATTGAGTTAATTCCTGAGAGAAATTATTTTACAACCAAGTGGACTTTGTTTTTTTCTTATTTTCCACTGACTTAAACCTTGACTTAATTAGGTCTGTCGCTCTTCTTGGTATCGATTTAATTAGATACAGCCGGTTTTTTGTGATTGAAACAAAAAAGCCCGAGTCCAACTTGGGAGGCTCCCCGTTTTGCAATTTTCTGTTTTATTAATTCCATTCAGACTTCGCATAGATTATTGAGCTGCTTGTTTTTACGTAATTCGTTTCTATTGCGGTCGCGGTTTGCATATACAATTAACATAGAATATCAAATTAAGATCACGCGGATTGGTTCAGTTGATCATGCATCTTCAATTTTTAAGGCCGAAGACTGCTCCCTGTAGAGTGGAAAACTTCGTCTTTGTTTATTAATGATTAATTTTTAAACAAATTCCTCAAAGATAAAAGTTGAAACAATAAAATTTTCCGTGCGATAGTGGAAAGTTTCCTAATTAACAGGACGGCAGATACCGTCTAGAAGTTCAGATATCCAGATGCTTCCCAGATCCTTCCCTAAATTGTCAAGCCTTCAGTACTCGTTTTCTTTGCCTGACATTCCCCGTTACTGTGTTGTCCCCCCAAAATAGAAAATAGTTGGGTTATTAGGTATTCATCAATGTTTACCTTATTGGTAGATTATGGGGAGGGGGATCTTGATCTTTATAGATAAACTGCTTCGACACTTCGTTCTGAGGATATTTGCACGATCTGAGACAATTTTTTTTTCGGGGCTCAAAAAAAGGCAGTTATTAACCTTCCTTTTTTACCAAAAATCGATTGCACCAAAAGTTATGGACTAGAAACCAATTTCGAAAGAAAATTCTAAGGGCTGTAACTTTTGAACTAGTGGCTCAATCTTGGAACTGTTTGAAATTATGGATTCTACAGGCCACATTCTATAAGAAAATTTTTTTTCCGGGTCGATCTGAGACAATTTTTTTTTCGAGGCTCAAAAAAAGGCAGTGTATAACCTTCCTTTTTTACCAAAAATCGACTGCACCAAAATTTCTCGGGAAAACACTTTTTCTTAATAATTTTGGTGCGTAGAATCCAAAACAATTCGTACTTTTTCGATTAGACTTCTCAATCAAAAGTTATAGACTAGAAACCAATTTCGAAAGAAAATTCAAGGGGCTGTAACTATTAAACTAGTAGCCCAATCTTCGAACTGTTTGAAATTATGGATTCTACAGGGCCCATTCTATAAGAAAATTTTTTTTCCCGGTCAATCTGAGACAATTTTTTTTTCGCGGCTCAAAAAAAGGCAGTGTATAACCTTCCTTTTTTACCAAAAATCGACTACACCAAAATTTCTCGGGAAAACACTTTTTCTTATTAATTTTGGTGCATAGAATCCAAAACAATTCGTACTTTTTCGATCAGACTTCTCAATCAAAAGTTATAGACTAGAAACCAATTTCTAAAGAAAATTCAAAGGGCTGTAACTTTTGAACTAGTAGCCCAATCTTGGAACTGTTTGAAATTATGGATTCTACAGGCCACATTCTATAAGAAAATTTTTTTTCCTGGTCGGTCTGAGACAATTTTTTTTTCGGGGCTCAAAAAAAGGCAGTGTATAACCTTCCTATTTTACCAAAAATCGACTGCACCAAAATTTCTAGGGAAAACACTTTTTTTTATTAATTTTGGTGCGTAGAATCCAAAACAATTCGTACTTTTTCGATCGGACTTCTCAATCAAAAGTTATATTTTTTTTATATTTTATTTATTGTTGTGCAGACATGTTGATACATTTACACTCGTCATTAGATAAAGAACACACTACCATATAATACAACAAACATAATAAATAAAAAAATAACATATAACACAGAATGACTGATACAATTACGAACCACTCCAACATGTTTTGACATCACCAGTAGATTTGTCTCGTCCAGAAGTTCTACTCGCCCTTTATGAATACCCTTTTCCGACACTTCATTTTCAAGATATTCGCTTTTGCCTTTGCCCTCTGACAAAACCGTTTTCCCGATATTTGGTCTTAAAGTTTTGCCATCACCGGCGGATATACAGGGTGGTGACTTGCGTCGCGCATCATAGGGATTTCAATGTAAAATTCATAACATGCCATTATTGGCTCCCCAAATTATTTTAGACCAAAAATGTATTAAGGTTTTTTATAGACAACAATTTTTTACGTCAATCAACCGCGTTAGTTTCCAATTTTTTACATAATGAAGACAGAAAATTGGAAAAATAAAACCCGCATCTTTTTCAATGCCATGGAATTTTATAATACAAAAACTACAATATCCGTCATGCCATGGAATGTCTGCTATAAAACAAATCAAATTCTATCAAAAAGTATTATATTTAGAACAGCGAATTCAACATAAAGAAAGACCAAATGACTAAAAACGGTTTCCTAATATAACAATTTACAATAAATGTTCGAATAAGTCACCATTAACTGCAAGGCAGTAACCAAGTCAATCATAAAATCCATTTCGAACTACTGCTAATTGATAACTGGACATCTTTTTGTTTTAGAAAATTCCATGGCATCGCAGATTATTGCAAAAGATGCGGGTTTTATTTTTCCAATTTTCCGTCTTTATTATGTAAAAAATTGAAAACTAATACGGTTTATTGACGTAAAGATTTTTTTTCTACAAAAAACTTTAATACATTTTTGCTCTAAAATAATTTGGGGAGCCAATAGTTGCATGTTATGAATTTTACATTGAAATCCCTATGATGCGTGACGCAAGTCACCACCCTGTATATCCTCCTCTGACAATCCGCTGTTGAAATGTAAGGAATTATAACCAATCAAAATAAGGGTTCGAGGAGGAGGACCATGATTGGTAGAAATTGATTCCTTTCGCTGAGACCTTTAATTAGAGTACCATGAAGGATAAAACCAGCTCCCCTCCCCGAACTCCCTTTTATGATACCAGAAAAACTTATTCAAATTTGTATATAATTCTAATGTAAAATTCTTTAGCTACCCACGCAACTTGACTGTCGTCTTCTTCTATTGCAGGAAGTAGTACCGCGTGCGTTGTTGTATTAAATAAAGAAAATAGTACGTTATACACTGCCAATATAGGAGATAGCGGATTCATGGTGGTCCGTCGCGGTAAGGTGATACACAAATCCGAAGAGCAACAGCACTACTTTAATACCCCCTTTCAACTCTCCCTACCGCCACCCGGCTACCAAGCGAACGTGCTGTCCGACCAGCCAGACTCGGCGATCACCAACAACTTCCCAGTCGAAGATGGTGACGTGATTCTCGTCGCGACCGACGGCGTCTTCGACAATCTGCCGCAGAGTCTACTCATAAAGGAGCTTTGCAAGGTGAGTCCGTCCGTTCACCCGTTTGCCTACTCACCGGATGGCGCGTTTTGTTTAGGTTCAAGGCGAGAGGTGCGCTACCAGACTGCAAACCGTAGCGAATTCGATCGCCTGGATGGCTCGGAATCTCTCGTTCGATGAAACGTTCATCTCGCCGTTTGCTGAAAGCGCCTTCGCTAATGGTATTAATACGATAGGTAAGTTAGACTCCGTCGCCCCACCATCAACATCCTCCGACTCTCCTTTATCATTGAAAGATTCGTCCCATCATCCCCTCCCCCTTTTTTTCTTACGTCACAGTACTGCGTTGTGATTGGCTGCGCCATTTTGTAGCGGTAAGTTTGAATTTGTGCGGGAATTTGAATTTCTTACTGTGATTGGCTGTGATTTTAAATATACAGGGTATAATGACAGTTATATGCTGGGTATTTGTGATCGCTGTGTTTGTACCCGTGCCAATACGTCATTAATTTACCGCTACAAAATGGCAGACATCCGCAAATTCTTATCGCCACAAAATGGCGCAGCCAATCACAACGCAGCGCACTCTGACGTCAGAAAAATAGAGGAAGGAGATGCTTTTACTACTAGTACCCGTTGTCTAATTTGTGCCACTTTAATCCCATCTTTGATTACAGGTGGAAAACCAGATGATATCACGGTTCTACTTGCAACAGTGGCAATATGAATCAAAGCCTTAAACCGATTGTTCATATTAAATCATAGAGCGCTATCGTTTTCATTTCTGATTATGTAACGACCTATTCTGTTGTAGTCGGATAAGTGTTGCCGGATGTAGACGAAACAACACTTTAGTAAGTAATACTCGACCTTTTAATTTAATGCCCCAAGGTGCATTGCTTATACGAGCCCGCCTAGGTTAAAGTGGGGGTCGATGCCTGTGAAAACGAAGTGCAGTAAATATCGAGGAAGGCAATAATCATTAATATAAACGCAAACAAAATACGCACTAAATTGGTGTACTATTTATTTATGAATCTAAAGTGCAAGATATTAACGACAGTGGACTTTGGTTGTGAAATAGATTGATATTGATTTTAATCAAATGACGCTCATTTTTTCAATTTGACTAATCGCTACGATTAAAGATGGACCCCTTCCTATGTTGACTATGCTTCATTCTGATATAAAACTGAGAATGCAACATATTTTAATTTGTACTTACAGTATTAAGTAAATTCTGGTTAGTATCAGAAGTATCTTATTCTATCTATATCTGCAGTGGATCAGCATCAATATTGCTCCACACTCATCCCATATGTATATGAGAATGCTCCCTTTTCTCCTTTTGGAGTAATTGTACTTACAAATCTTGTTTTCCGTCATGAGCGCTCATATATTCATTGATCCATATTTATGCGCAACTCATCTTAGTTTTCTAGTTCTTAAGGTTTTGTTAGATAGATTTGTAAATCGTTCGAATTTGTGTTTGATTTGTTTTATTTAAGTTACTTTGTAATCTTGCGTTTTGACTATCTCAGGATTAGAACTATCCCAATAGTGTAGCTATTAAGGTTCATTTGCAAATCTATCTTTTTCGTGCTGTTTTAGGTTAAATGAAGTGCTGTGGTTTCGTGTAGGTACGATTTTTTTTTTGTTCGATATTGTTAATTGTGGCTGTCAGGATAAGTTATGGAAATGTTGTTGTTTCGCCAGTGTATCTGAATAAAATTCTTTTTGTTTGATTATTCGTATACAACCGCGCGAATAATGTAGATAGGGAATTTATTTAATATTGTGCTGTGCAACTTAGTGATGATCAAACCAAAATGACTACTTCGCAACATTTAGGATCTTTTTTTTTGTTAAAGGTTCCTTTGTATTTTTAACTTGTACAACAGTGAGCAGTTAATGTAGGTAGTTGTTTAATAAAGCAATTGTTATCGACGACTTATGCTTTGTGCACATTGAGAATAGGTACAGTGTCTAAACGTGGATGCTTTCGAATGAATGCAGGTAATGTTTGACACATCAGGCTCGTCTCAAATTTAGGAGCTTACTCAATATTCCACTCTTACAAGGGAGCAACCGGCGGCCTTTGCTATTAAAGAAGCTAAGTGGTTCCTGGCTATTATTTATGGGTAAGTATTAAAAGACCAACCACATTTTTTTGTGTGATTTACTTGTGTAGGGATGGAAAAAGATAGCAAGGGTCCAGATTTTCCCAAACAAAGACCAATTTTTAATGGATAAGATTCGGTCTAGACTGTAGGAAATGTCCTGGATGGTAATGATTTTGACACCTCGTTATCTCTCTGGTCTCATACCAACCATTCCAAAATTAACTTCGTCTTCCTGGCGTTCGCCGCCATTTATAACATGTTCTTTAGGTCCAAAGGACTGCAAGTAAGTTTGGAAAGACTCCCAGACCTTCGCCTTACACCAACCTTTGGACTTGACCCACAATTTTTGTACTTGCCAACCTTTGGACTTTGAACAGCAGGGAATGGACTTTGATCGATAGCTTGGCCTACTCTCTAAGACCAGCGAAAATAACGCTATAATGCAGAAAAAATGTTGGATTTATCGTCATTGATGTGACCTTGATGAAGTGTGTGCATGCGCCATTTTAACGCATAACCTCAGTCTTCTCCCCTGCCATTTTTGTACATTGCACACCGGAAGTGTATTTATACCACACATACGGATTTATGGCTCAGTGGTAGAGCATTGGGTTATAAATCCGGAGGTCGGGTGTTCGAACCTGGGTTGAGGTGAATTTTTCATCTGTGGCGGAGATGGAAATTACCTTAGACCAGTTCCGAGCATTCTACCGGCTACTCCGAATTAGGTTTTCCTAATTCGTAAGGTAAATACCGGAGTAGTATAGACCAACTTAAGACCTTCTTCAGAGGCACCTTTAAATAGCATTATGCGGGTCACTCTGTAATTGGGCGCATGCCTGTTGAGGGCCCAAAACAAGAGAGGGATAAAATTAAAATTAAAAAATAAAACTATGAATAAATGCAATTTTACAGACTAAAGACTAAAATTCAAAGTACACCGTCTTGCTTATTGACTTTGAGAGGTTGTACCCTGTATATACAACATGTATGTACAAGAACAAAAGCGCCATCTGGCGACCACGACCGTTGGTTAAGTTTGACATCTTGTCTTTAATGGCGGCCACGAAAGCATCGCTCCGTAAATGTTTGTGTTATTTAATGCAGTCGGTAGTAATCTTTGCATTTCTTTATCTGTATCTGTGTTTTGTGAGTTTCAATCTTGGATTTTGATTTAACCATAATGCAGATTCATGTGTTTGATACCTTTTGTTTGTAATTGTGTTCATTTTTGGTGTAATGTTTGTTAAATTTTTGTTTATGTCTCGATTACATGGTCTTGGCTCCAACTTAAATTTATACATTTTTGATCATTCTTTTAAACACATGAAACATGATGTGTGTCTAACATTTTCGCCTTGTAGAGACGGTCCCGGGGGTGGTAAAAACTGTAACCAAATGAGTTACTACACTCAATACCTGGGCTGATCCCGACAGTCAATTGTAGGGTCGAAACCCCGAACGAGGGGCGAGTTATCTATCTCGGGGGCGAGATTCTGATAATAAAACTCTTCGGTTTAGAATCTATGTGTCATATGAGTTGCGATTCACTGATTTCCACATATTTTGTCGTAACATTGAATTGCCTTACAAGCTCATGCAAGTTGCCATCCCGCTCCTTAACAGAAGGGTCTTATTGCACCAAAGATGAATCACATCCTATGTATTTCACCCTTCCCACATCTTGGTACCTGCTTAAGATGGTCCATTGTTCTAAAAACTTGTTTTTAACTCGAAGCTTACATGCAACATATTTTGTTGTTATAATTTTATGTTATGCATTCATATCATACAATTAATTTTACTACACAATTTAATATGCATTTGTTTTTTTATAAGATATTTTTTCTCAGCCTATTTTTATTCAGTGAACCATTTTCAAAGTTTATTCTTGCAATGTAATTTATTTCGACTTAAATTTCCTAGTATTCACATAATATGAGCAATAATTATTAAACAAACTTCACAATTTCAGTGTTTTATTTTACGTTCCTTCCCTACTGTACTTCAGGTGATAGCGTTGTTCAGCATCCAAGACCATGGGTCCAGCATCCATGGCCAATTGCCAAAATTTGACCTTACACCCTGGCCCATATTGCCTAAATTTGACCCCTGGCCATCAACCGAAATATTTAGGCACTGAAAGACATGTGGAGAGGAGTTATAAAGTTCTGGTAGGTAAATCCCTGGGAGACTGGAGGGTTATGGAAAATCTTCAAGTGATTTCCAGAACCTTTTAAGTGTTTAGAACCTAAATTTCACTGTTGTTGCAGTTTTTCGTATTATCCAAACAACACTTGACATTTGCAAAATTGCAAAGTTTACTATACAGAAGCTCTATTTGCTGCTGTAGCTAGAATGGTCAGCAAAACTACGAAAACAGCTACCTAGAAACTACAACTGCTCTGGAAAGCACTAATTAAGGCTTTGGGAGATTTTTAGTACGTGAACAGCCTAGAAACGTGCAAAAATCCAGAAAGGTAAAATGTAACGACCTGGAAAGGTTTCAGAATGTGCTGAACAGGTCTCGCGAGAAGCATGGAGATGAGGAAATCTCCAAAGCTCAGAAATAGTAGGCTTTTAGAAAGCTGTGTGGAGACCACGGACTCTCCCAAAAGCTCTGGGAAAATAGCCGAAGAATCACAAAAATTCGAATTTTCGAGAATCCAGAATACCATATTACTAAAATCTGAATGGCTGTTAAAATAAGCAATTAAAACAAAAACAAGAAACCTGAAAAAGAAGCTTAAAAGGTGACAACGCGTTTGTTTATTACAGTTATTTATGAGTTTTTGTTTCAGATTGTTGTTTTGCAAGTGCAACTAATGAACATCAAAAATAATCGAACAATTCCCAAAAAACAAAGTCATCTGAAGCATTTTAATTTTTAAGATTCTGAAGGATCTGATGAGTCAGAAAATTTGAAGGACCGTCAAAGGATTTAAAGAAACTAAAGAATCTCCAGTTCTGAAGATAGTATCAAATCAAGACGCCATAAATGTCAATAGCGGATTGGTCACCGGCGTAAGGAGCGAACCAATGAACGCGAATGTAACTAATTCTTTCTATCACTATGAAACATAATAGGTACGCTGATTCAAGATTTCTTTAGAAAGTTTATTGTGTGCTAAATAAACAAATTGAATTGTGTTTAGTCTGAATCTTAATATTGATGTCGAAGTGATAAATAACGAAATTCACGCTGGTCTTATCAATATGGCTGCAAGTAAGTGATAAATATGGCATTGTTTTGTTATAAACTAAGTTTATCGAATAGTTCCTGTAAACAATAATTAGCACGTATTAAATAACAGTACACGAAAAAAACGTCCGATTTTGGAAGACGAGCTTATGTCACATGATAAACGTCAAAAACAGCTGTTTCATCAATGACAGAAAACAGCTGTTCACTTTGACGTTTTTTGAGGACCTGAGCACTGGGGCATAAAATACCAAATACCTTATATATACCATGAAAGGGGTGAACTCAGACACCAAAATAAAATTCCCTACAATGCTATCGGTTGACGTTTGATATTGATACGTCAGTGGTTATTCAGTTGACATGACAATGTATGATACGAACTTGTATTTATTATTTGCACTTATTTATCCGTTGCTTTAGTAGTGTCTTAAATAACTAACAGAACCGCAAAATGGCTTATCAAACTCTCAAGCAGGAGTACCTGAATATGCCCCCGGTTACGAGGGCATACACGACTGCCTGTGTCATCACCTCCCTCGCTGTGGTAAGCCGAATATTGTATCCCCTAAACCGTTTTAATTCTCACTTCCAGCAACTCGAACTGACGTCACCATTCCAGCTGTATTTTAATCCGATTTTAATATATAAGGGGCAAATATGGAGGCTGATTACGACGTTTTTGTTCTTCGGCACATTCGGATTTAATTTCTTTTTTAATATGATATTCACGTATAGGTATTGCAGGATGTTGGAGGAGGGCTCGTTTCGAAATCGCACCTCTGACTTTGTCACAATGTTCCTGTTCGGTGGAGGTTTAATGATTGTATCCTTTTTTATGCTCGGTACATGCTGTGGGACAATGTCAATGGAACACCCAGTATATGAATTATTTTGTTGCAATGTGTTAAAACATTTTAGTGTCTGTTGGAACAGGTCAGGTAGAAAAGTTATTGGATCTGACTTCATTTTTTTAATTGGAACACCCTTTATATTTTAATCTGCAAAGATAGCATATTAAATTCTCATTTCACAAATATAACACACCATGGTTGATATTCTAAAGGATTTAAAAATATTCAAAAAGTAAAAATAAATCTAAAACAGATTCAAATTTTTTTTAAATCTTTGGAATTTTTGAAAGGAGAGAATCTTTCTAGATTCAAATATACAGGGTGTTCTATTTAATAAAATGAGTATTGAATATATACAGTGTGTCACAATTAAAGTATGCCAGTTTGAATGGTAGAGGCAGACACCCTGTATAGCTTGAATAATTATTAATAAAACCATAGTAAAGAAACAGTTTTAAGCAAAGATGTTCTCCTTAACGAATTGAAGGCTATTGGGTTCTCAGTAAATTTACTGTTCTTGGGTCAAGCCTTTACAATAATGCTGGTGTATATATGGTCACGAAGAAATCCGTTTTTCCGGATGAATTTCTTCGGTCTAGTTAATTTTCAAGTAAGTGGCGAGATCGTTCGTCCGACCACTTAACCTGTAACTTTCAGGCCCCCTACCTACCGTGGGCCCTTCTATCATTTTCGGTACTATTAGGAAACACAGTGTATATAGATTTAATAGGCATCGTCGTCGGGCACATTTACTATTTTATCGAGGACGTTTTTCCAAACCAAAGAGGAGGTTTCAGAATTCTAAAGACGCCAACGATATTGTAGGTAGATACGTCGACTTGTGGTTTGCTGTAAGCGGGTTTTTGTAGAAAAACAATTTTTGATAATCACACGGATGATCCGGACTATGTCCCGTTGCCGGAGGAACGCCCCGGTGGCTTCGATTGGGGACAAAACAGGCAGGACGAGAACCAGGCCCCGCCACAACAAGAAGACCGTCAGTAATTACAATTGTGATGAATAGAAAAACACATACATACCCATAAAATTGTACAAATAGCGAACTTTGTAATATACCCCCTCCGTAATTGATGAACTATATTTTTGAGATTATTTTTGTTTTAAATGTTTGTATTATAATTATTATTAATACTACAATTGTATAATGTTCTGTAATAAACAATTTTTAGTCATTGCAGATTATTTTAATAGTATTGAAAGGTCTCCAGTATACAGGGTGATTGCAGATTAACGCAGTTGAAATAGAAAATGGCCATTAAAAGATTTGTACTGTATTTTTGTTTTACATGTTTGTATTATAATTATTATTAATACTACAATTGTATAATGTTCTGTAATAAACAATTGTTAGTCATTGCAGATTATTTTAATAGTATTGAAAGGTCTCCAGTATACAGGGTGATTGCAGATTAACGCAGTTGAAATAGAAAATGGCCATTAAAAGATTTGTTACTGTACATCTGACTATATTATAAAAGCGTATTATTATTATTATTACTATATAGAGACTAAGAGACAGTGTGGTCATCGGTAGTGTTATTTTCTATTGATAGTTGGGAGATCCGCCATGTTTTGGCCAAATACACCGGATTGGTAGAAATTAACCCGGCAACTAGGGTGATGTATATTTAACTTGCTAGACACAATTGCGACCATAGTAAAATCTACTATTTGGCTGAACCAATCAGATAAATGATTTATTAGAAAAAAAAACATGGCCGACATGAAGCATCATGTTATGGCCTCGGTCACACTGTATACAGTCACTGTAGGAGGTTGAGGTTCAATTGGCGATACGTTAGTCACAGCCATAATGTACTGAGTTCGCCACTGCCACAGTTGTCAAGAAGAAGTAACGACTTTTGGCATTTAAATTTGAAACGACTTTCTTGAAGAAATGAACCAACGAAAACCGTTACGTTTTTTACAGTTATTTAGTAAAGGTCGTAATAATGGCTATAGTAAGCATGCACTTATACTTTATTTACAGAAGAGCTGCAAGATTTGTTGGAAGAATCGGCTTACAATCCTGCACCACAAGTTATCATAACAAAACCCAAAGGTAATAGCAACGTAAATATTGACTGAAAGACTAATTACATTGAATTGTAGCAATAAAGGCCAAAGTCTCCAATGTAGCTCCAAAACGAAGCATTTATTTACCTGCAAGACTGACTGTAAAACCACCCGAACAGAGTATGTGCCTTTGTTTGACACTCCGAATTAATTCAGAGTGGTGGAAGGGTATGTTTCATGCAAACTTTTGTAGGTAAGCTGCCGAGTAGACTACCACAACCGAAACAGCCCGACGAGAAAGCGGCACGTAAAAAATTGTTTGTGTCCGGCAAAAAAGAGATTGTTAAGCAAGGATTCAAGGTGAAAACCATCTCAAAATTACGCAGGAATCCCTCACTGAACGATTCATCACCTCTCATTGACATAAGCTCAGTAGAGAATAGGCTTCCCGCTCATTTGGAATTTAAAAAATCGAGAGAACGAAAGCGTACCACTCCCTCACAAGCCTCCTACACCTGCGGTAATCAGACAAACGAGCTCAGCAAAATATCGTCCGCCGGTGAAAGGGAATTCGTCGAGCTCGAGCAAAAATATGAAGTAAACAACAAAAGGAGTACGAAGAGGAACAAAATTAATGCCATAATAAAAACTGACTCTGAGGCCTTCGATAGGCTCAAGTCCAAATTCGACTCGCTACAAATGGAATTTGACGATTACGCCTCTAAGCACGAGGAGAACATGAAGGAGATCGCGAAGCTGTTGGGTGTAGGGCAAGACGCGACCGTCGCCAAGCAAGTGACCTTTGCTACCGAAGATGAAGGTCTGGAAAAGGCGATCACGATGTATAATTCGATTAGGAAAAATTGCAATAGCATTTTACGAACGCCCAAAGGGAACAGGTCCTGTTTGCAAACGCCGAAAAGCGAGAAGAAAGTTAAGGATGCCCTATCGATTAAGTTGCAGAAGCAATGCTTAATGTTGCAAGATACTCCTCGGAAGTAAGGGATAGTAAAAATGTATTTGTTTATAAACTTTATTAGTGTTTTACTTTTGTGTGGACCGTTTGAAAATAAAAGATGTATATTTTTCTCTACTTTTTGACATAGTGTCATAGTATAGTCCATCAGGGAATTAAGAGAGAAATTAAATTTGGTGAGGTGGTAGAGAAATGTCCCCGCTCGAAGGGAGGGGAGTGAAAACCATGCACCGCCTCATCATTTGGGGTGTAACACCCTTGATGTACATCGGGGAGAAAAAATGTTTAAACAAAACTTGTAGAGCGTTAAATTATGCACATTTCAATATCTATTCATTTTTTTGTCTGTGACCAATAGGTTCTGAGATATTACGCTTCAATGCGTGGGGTTATTTAACAATTTCTTCGTCTTCGTGTCACCGTGTATATTAAAATCTAGTGACTTTCATTTCCTTATGTTCGTGCTTTAGTTACTTGTACGTCTACGTTCTTGACTTTTGACAGCTGTCATTTCAAAAAATTGCAAAATACAAACGAGAACTTATTAAATTAAACAAAAAGCCCCATTTTAACTTAAATGGTGCTTACCAAAGAATATCGAATATGCATGCCAATAACCGTGGAAGAAGTAAGCCAGCCTCCTTAAGAAATCCGCCACTTAACCGCAAATTTTTCCAGTACCAAATCGGTCAGTTATACATGATCGCCCGGCACAGTTTGGAGCAGTCCGGAAACGGGGAAGGAATCGAAGTGGTCGAAAACAGCGAGTGCGTCGATCCGAAGCACGGCAAGGGGAGGTTTACTGAGAAACGAATACACCTATCAAGGTATACTCTACTCAATTCAAATAATAGCAACTAAACGTCGTGTCATAACAGCCGCTTGCCCTACTGGATTCAGGCGATGATCCCGAAAATCTTCTACGTCACCGAAAAGGCGTGGAATTACTATCCGTTTACCATAACCGAGTATACCGTAGGTATTTCGTCGAGTTATCCCTTTGCTTACTGGCTCTTTTAGTGTTCGTTTCTACCAAGATTTAACATATCCATTCAGACGACTTACGAGAATAATAACGGATGTACGGATAATGTAAGCTTGGGTGAGGTCAAAGGCTTATTTATTGTTTCTGTTCTCGCAGTCCTTAAATTTAACACCCGAAGAATTGGCAGAGAGAAGCGTGGAGCGGTTAGATATCGCCTATGACGAAGTGACCCCGAAACATTACAAGGAGGAAGAGGATTTGAGGTTTTTTCAGTCGAAAAAGACACACCGGGGTCCGCTGGTTGAAGGGTGGCAGGATAGTTACACTCCCATCATGTGCTCATATAAAATTGTGAGGGCGTCCTTCGAGGTCTGGGGTTTGCAAACAAGAGTGGAGGATTTTGTACAGTCGGTAGGTTCATTTGGTGTGGTGGTGGCGGTGGTGGTTTCTAGTCCTTAGCCTTTGTATTGAAATTTGTATTGAAAAAAGGCTTTCCCCCTTAAAGGGAGTATTTTCCAAGAACTATTTATGTGTACAAAAGAAAATAAGTCATGGCATAATAAGAAACTCGGAATTGTGCAGTGTGCGCATGCGCACACCTAAAGAAAGCCATATGTTTCCCTCTCTAGAAGAATCTTTACGTAAAATTTAAAAAAAATTCATAAATAAGAAAGTTGACATTGCGCAGTCTGCGCATGCGCGCGTCTGATTTTTAAAATCATTGGTTAAAATTTTTAAGAAATATCTCAAGAAATAAGAAAGTTATCATTGCGCATGCGCACATTAATTGTCAAGATTTTTCTTGGTTGAGGTTTCTGCACTTTCTGTTCGTATGTTTGTCTGTCTGTGTGTACAGTTGGCGGTTTAGGTTCCTTTGTCTGTGTGTTCTATCCTTCTACCCATCTTTCTGTACGGCTATCCACCTATCCACACTTTCTAACATCGAAATCACCGCTTCGATCCACACAAGGATTAACCATTGTAAATTCACCTTGCAGTGCGTAAGGGAGGTTCTACTTTTGGGTCATCGGCAGGCGTTTGCCTGGATCGACGACTGGATTGAGATGAGCCACGAAGACGTGAGGCAGTACGAGGGGAAGCTTCAAGTGCAGACTAATCAATTAGTGCAGCAAAGTGCACCGAGTGCACTTCAAGTTAGTTTACAGACGGCAGCTTGTGGTGATTTCGACGCAATTTCCGACGGATGTTCAATAGGCAGCACCCCATCCATTACACCTAACTCACCAAAGTCGCCGGCGAAAAAGGGTTACTTCTCGTGGTTTTAAGAACGCAATTTCCTAGCTGTTTATCGTCCTATTTATTTTACTTTAGTGAAATCTGTAGACTGTTCGGGTTGTGTTCCTTAGATTTTTATTTTGTATCGTAATAAAATGTATTATGTTACATGGTGTTTGTACTTAACGCGCATACTGTATACTGTGTACATAAATGTATTTGGTCTTATCATGAAATAAAAGTGAGGATCTATTTCAATTTTTGGGAGAGTTGAAGCACTGAGGGGTTCTCTACCAAACTCAAAGAGAGTATATTGTCCTGTGTCTTAGGCATGTCATTCGCGTATAGAAAAAAAGAGTGGCGACGTGAGCAAAATTCGTTGGGGTAGTCTAGACGTATTATTTTACGCAACCCATTTGCAATGTGTTTGTTTACATATTAAAAAATGTAGTTCTCGCGGTAAACAGATGGGCGAAGGTTGACCTTACGTGGGATCTTGTTATATCCCTTTCCAGACCCATCTACCTTTTTCCAAGATCTCGGATCTAGGCGACACCTAGAAAGCACTCGAAATCGCCTTGCTGATCAGAAGACACCAAACACCTTTGGGAAGGAACTGGAACGTTGTAGGAAATCCCTCCCAGGGGTCTGAAATGGATGAAAAATACTGGAATGGTACTAAAGTTACGTCTACTGCTCTCTCTCTCGCTCTCGCTCTCTCTCTCTCTCTCTCTCTCTCTCTCTCTCTCTCTTTCTCTCTCTCTCTCTCTCTCTCTCTGTGTCTAACCTTTCCTGCTTTCTTCTATACTTTCACGTATCCTCTAATGCTGTACCCATATTGCCTTCTCCTGCTCTCACTCCTTCTTTATCCTATTCCTGCAATGTGCTGCCCTGTTTTTCTCCCATGTATTCTTTCTTTCCTGTAATGTTTTCCCTCCCGTCATGTACCTTTCACTATCTGTTCTCCCTTGCTTTTTCTTTCTTCTGCCGGCCCCTATTTTCTACTATTCTCTCCCCTACTTTCCTGCTCTCTTCCTTCTTCTGCTCTCGATTGTCTCTAATGCTTTATACTGCCATTGACTGTCTTCTCCTGTACTATCTTGTCCTCTCTCGCCCTCCATAGCACTCTTCCTCTTTCTTTTAGCATCTCTCTTGTCCCCTTCTGCTCTATCCTGTTTCCTTCTGACCACTCCTGTACTCTCATATTTTTTGTGTATTCTCTAACTAGCTCTTTCTATCTTGTCATTTCATACTCTTTAAACCCTTTTCTTTAGGTACGTTGTCCTATCTTTTACCGCTCTGTGCAGATCACTGGAATTATTCAAGTTAATGAGAGGGCAGTAGAATTTCTCTACTGCAGGGGCACTGTGTGTCGTAAGCGGCGACTAATTAATGAAGTAGAGGTTTCCGTGAATGTATTTTAAATTTTCTTTATGGCTATAATGCCCATTGGTGGACACCAAATATATTTTAAGCAGTTCGCAGGTTTTTTTTTGAAAGTTGCTGAATGTATAAGGTACCAATAAGTAACAAATTATGTGTAAGTATAACCGTTTTCAATTACTGAAAGTTTGATTGATAAAACGTGTAGCCATTTTGTAATAAATTAGTATTTAGGAGAAACTTTAAATGACTTACAATCCTTCTAACCGTATTAGTAGTCAAAGCTCAAGCTTTTTTTTATAAATTATAACTGATATACCCCCAATAAAAATGTCTTGAAACTTTTATGATGAGACCGTGGAACGTGAGTACCCTCGATCGAGAAACTTTTGATAAGCTTACAGATGCTTGCAGCTCAACTTTATCATGAGCGTTTTGTATTTACAATTCATCCAAAATCGCCCGTATACATCGCGTGTTCAATTTAAGTTTCTGAAGTGCTTATTTAGGAGGCATACATAATATTGATACACCGCTCTATAGCAATTAATTTATTCTAACTTCTAGAAGTTTGGTGTGGGAATGGAGCCAGATGAAAATGTTGCCGCTCAAATTTTGTCATTTCACCCCTAACTGTCTTAATAGCTTCTAAGGGTTGCAGCACTTCCATCTTGCAGTTCGCGTATTAGTATAAATAGTCGTATTCTCGGTGGAGAAAACAGAATATCAACTTCTGGGTGATTCTAGGTCAATAATACGAACAAAGGAAAACTGAATGAACGTATAAAAATGCAAAATAGGATTGGAAAAAGTTTGATCTGGGGCTTATTAGCTATAAATAGCACAATTTTTTTCAGTAAAAACAAACCGCTGGGAATGGGCGAGAAACAGCACTAATTTTCTTATAGAATGTGGCCTGTAGAATCCATAATTTCAAACAGTTCCAAGATTCGGCTACTAGTTCAAAAGTTACAGCCCTTTGAATTTTCTTTCGAAATTGGTCCATAAATTTTGATTGAGAAGTCCGATCGAAAAAGTACGAATTGTTTTGGATTCTACGCACCAAAATTAATAAGAAAAAGTATTTTCCCGAGAAATTTTGGTGCAGTCGATTTTTAGTAAAAAAGGAAGGTTATACACTGCCTTTTTTTGATCCCCGAAGAAAAAATTGTCTCAGATCGACCCGGAAAAAAAATTTTCTTATAGAATGTGGCCCGTAGAATCCATAATTTCAAATAGTTCCAAGATTGGGCTACTAGTTCAAAAGTTACAGCCCTTTGAATTTTTTTTTGAAATTGGTTTCTAGTCCATAACTTTTGATTGACAAGTCTGATCCAAAAAGTACGAATTGTTTTAGATTCTACGCACCAAAATTAATAAGAAAAAGTGTTTTCCCGAGAAATTTTGGTGCAGTAGATTTTTGGTAAAAAAGGAAGGTTATACACTGCCTTTTTTTGAGCCCCGAAAAAAAATTGTCTCAAATTGACCCGGAAAAAAATGTTCTTATAGAATGTGGCCTGTAGAATCCATAATTTCAAATAGTTCCAAGATTTGGCTACTAGTTCAAAAGTTACAGCTCTTTAAATTTTCTATCGAAATTGGTTTCTAGTCCATAACTTTTGATTGAGAAGTCCGATTGAAAATGTACAAATTGTTTTGGATTCTACGCACCAAAATTAATAAGAAAAAGTGTTTTCCCGAGAAATTTTGGTGCAGTCGATTTTTGCTAAAAAAGGAAGATATTACACTGCCTTTTTTTGAGCCCCCAAGAAAAAATTCTCAGATCGACCCGGAAAAAAAATTTTCTTATAGAATGTGGCCTGTAGAATCCATAATTTCAAACAGTTCCAAGATTGGGCTACTAGTTCAAAAGTTACATCCCTTTGAATTTTCTTTTGACATTGGTTTATGGGGAGGAGGCTCTTACACATAAACATTTAAAAGCCCGCCTGACATACATACATTCAAAATCCTCCGACACTCCGTTCTGCATATATTTGCACTGAAAGCTTTGACATCATCACTAGATATGTCTCGTCCTGACGTTTCACTTGCCCTTTATGAGTACACTATTCCGGCAATCCACTTTTGAGATATAAGGGAATATATTCTATCACGAAAGGGAGGCAAGGAGGACTATGGTTGGTAGAAATTAATTCCTTTCGGTGAGATCTTTCATTAGAGTACCATGAAAGATAAAATCAGGTCCACTACCCCCCCCCGTAATCAAATGTTACTGGATTACCGGAAGGGAAAATTTTGACTACATTGTGGGAATTTTCAGTTGAAAATGTAGTTGACTCCACCATCTGTAAGATCTTGTCCGGGGCTACCACATTCCCTTTTGTCGGTACCCACTTCCGACGTTCCGTTCACCCGCAATTCGCATGTTAGTGGATTTTACTAAGAATCTTTCCGACGACATCAACCTGAAAACAATCGGACCAAAACTGTAGAAGAAGATAGGAAAAAACTGAAAAATCTGCAGGTTAGTATAACGCCATCGGGGATGGCGCCGACACCATATCATGCAGCCCCGTCTCTACAGTTGTTAATTACACTGCCTCGGTAGGTACATGTACATACTCCTTATCTTTCTACAAGCATTCTTCTACGGACCCGCATCTGCTGCCAGCCAGCCAGCCAGCCACACATTACAAATAAATTTGGAAAAATTGGCTAAAAGGTGACTATTGAAATGCACACTCTCTCAATCGTAGGCCTACTCCTCTGCATTTTTCGTAACAGTTCGATGACCCCCCCCCCCTCCTCCCGGCCACCTACTGATCTCGAAAAGGTGTCGCGCAACGGGAAGGTTTGGCTAAAAAATGCAGATCCCTATCAAATGGTGCAGGCCTAAGCTTTTCCGAAGAATTGAACTGCGCGAAAGGGGAAGGTTTGGCATTACACCCCCAATTTTATTGGAAGTACGTGTGGTGATTACCAATCGTTTGAGTCTAGTCAGGAAGAAGATACTCTTTTTGTGGGGGTATGAAATGAATTTTATAAGGGTTGATTACAACCGTTCATTCCGTCGGTAGGATAATTACTAATCTTTCGGGTTCTGTGAGCAATTGGAACCCTGTTTATTGAGGGTAGCAGGGCTGTAGAGTGATTTTATTTGGGGAGGGTGCAAATCGTCAGGAAGTAGTTCGTATTTGACTGAACTCTCCGGCACCACTGGTTGTTTGGGGGTGTTCTGCATTTGGCTGCTGTATTCTGGCCTCAGGTTTGGGTGCCAAATATTTTAGTTTAGATTTAAATTCATTGATGCGAAGATTTAACCCCAATAGGTCTTAAAATTGTGTAGGTTTTTTTAATGCTTAAAGCTTTCAAAGAAGGGGAGACTCTTCTCCCTCGTAGAACTTCGAACAATCGAAATATTTTGCCGTTTAGGAACCAGTTACTGTAAAGCACTCCCTTACTGAAATGTCAGACTAGGGGCACTTACCGGCAGTAAAAAGTCACCGAAGACGTGGGTGGATGGAGCGCGTAATTTTAAATTGGCCACAAAGAAAAATATTTTGAGTGGGTCCTTTTTCTAAGCGTAAATTAAATTAGGGAAGATAAATAAGTGACACACGGCACTGGTTTTTCCAAACGTTCGCCTTCTATTTTGTAGATAAGGGTGACCAATACGGCGTACGCATTATCGCCACGCAGGTGTTTATCCGAATACCGACGTAATTAAATCGTTTCGCCATTCGGGTTTGAATTGAGTGCATCTTTCGTTCCTCAACAGCGAATTGTATCTGAAGTGGTAGGCCTATTAATGATAGGGTGAGTTTTTACTTGTGTATTACTTAAGGGCTACAGTAATTAAATGCACTAAAACAAAGGATCAAAACTATTGATCAGAAGGTCCGATTAATCCT